GCAATTATTAGCCCAAAGACATGGAAAAATCCATAATCTTACATCATAAGGGCAATGTTAAAAAATAAATAAATAAATAAAACACTAAAATCTAAATTAAAATGGCTGAAGACATAAAATATGATCTGGAGATTGATTTCTCTCTAATGACCACAGGTATTGGAAAAATATCAAACTTAGGGTTAAATTTGAATTCAACAACATCCAGTTATAACATAAAAATTCACTTGCTGCAGATGCGTCATTCTCATGTGTAATGTATATAGTCATTTGAAGAGTACCTAACATTGGTGACTGCATTTGTAAGGGCCCAAGTATTCAAAGGAAATACTGGCAGAAGGTATTATTTTCAACATGTGGGTTTTATTATTCCTGAAAAAGACAAAAATAATACATAAACATAATGAACATAAGTGCATTTTAAGAGTGGGATCATAAAAAGTTAACTAAACTAACTGTAATGCACAGAACTACACAAAAATAATGGTTAACAAAATAAGACCTTAAAAAATAAGAACCAGCTTAATCTGTTTACTAGTGGAGTAAAACATTTTAAATGCAAAGGGTTGAACCACTGCAACAATAAATAAATGTGATATAAAGGAATGTAGTTCTCCCTCATCCAGTCAGAGTGGGTGTTTGGGTCTATTTTGTTGACCTATCCATTAGAACTAGCTCTGTTCTCTGACTCCGCTTTTACTCAAGCCAGGAAGGACTGGAGTAGCTGACATGTAACTCCAGAAAAATAATGAAGGCAACTTGTATAAATCAATGACAAAACAATATGAATCAAATGTTTGCCTGATTATTTTATAGTGAAATCATTATCAAAATATTTATTTCTTCAATTGCTACCTGATTATTTTCAGTATAACTTCAATTGGTGACATAATGGTGACTTCATGATGACATTTTGTGCATTTATGTCAGTGATCAGAACATTTTAAATGTTATTAACTTATATGAAACTAGTTTCTCTTAACTTTCTGTACAGAGGCCATGTAACTACAGTCTTACAGCCTTTGCAGACCAACTTACATATATTCATATATATTCCTTAACATTTAAACCCAGTGACTCACTGAGTAAGGTTACAGACTAATGGGCAAAATGACTCAAAGGAGGAGGAGAGTGGAGTATAGTGTCGATTTTCAGGTCAGAGTGGCTCAGACAGATCAAGTGTAGCCTTGTCATGTAGTTTCTTGGTGAGGTGAATAATCACATCAAAACTCCCGCAATGCTATTGTGCATTGTATACACAAAAGCATTTGCATACTGTTCTATACACAAATGCATATCCACATAGTATTTTTTATGTTTTCTACTAGAAAGACAAAAGTACAAAGAGAAAGAGAAAAGCAGAGAAATAGTCTGATTGATAATGCCATTCATATTACTTTTGTTTATTTAACTGAATCAGGAGATGTTAGTCACCTAAAAAGAGCCCAAACCCCACCGCCCCCCACACCCCACCCCCACCCACCTCCCCAAATATGATAATAAACCACAGCAACATAACTAACAATATGGCAGCATCAGCAGGGATTGCCTTATTGCCTTAGCATCATGTTCATTTAACTCTCCATTCTATAAAATGCTGATCAGACTTTATATGTAAAGTGACAAACACAACACTTCCTGGTAATCTATGCAGGAAACCCATCGTTAGCAATGAGAGCGAGCAGTTTGAGATGTGTGAGGAGATCTTTTGGTTCAGCTGTTCACTCTCTCTCAGACAAGTAAACATATTATACACTCTAAATACGTTTCACATGAATCAGTGGTAATTGTGCACAGAAATTCATTTCACTGTAGTTGTGTAGCTTCCAATCCATATGTTTGTCCAAATTATATCCTAAAGCCTCAGCAATATTGCTTTATAAAACTTTCATGCCCATAAGACCCCTTTGAACTGAATTGAACTGAGCAGTGTTTGCATCCTCCATTCTTGTAATCTTCTAATGTTGGTGAACAAAGCTCAGCAGGATTTCCCGGCGAGATTCTGATTTCTTCACATCCACAATATCCTTTCTTTCTTTATACTCAGTAAACACATTGAGCCACCGTTCATTTTTCGTGTATAGCATCCGATATGCTTGTCCTAACCATTTGCCTTGGAAGAATATGAGTGTTATGTAAAAATAAGGTGCAGCAAATCTATTATTACCAGCACCCTGTGAGTGCCATCTACAGTCTGCAACAAAACACTGCAGTTGTACCAAGCTGCTGCTATCTGAAGCATGGTATGATTACCAGCAGTGACAGTGTGGACAGGGTTGTTTACACCTATGAGTCTGTGCATCTATGCATGTTGATTATCGCAGCAAAATATGGGCCTGGAGATGACTACAACAGCAGTAAATATCAAAAAGTTAGGTGTGGTTAGTGGTATATGTCTGTGGACAGATTTTTTTCCAAGACACAAAACAAGTGGCTGGGATCAAAATAGAGGTCAAGTTTACAGATCAATGTGGTTTGACCCAAGGGTAATGATTAAAGGATACTGGAACTATGGGGTCAAAGGGTTCCGTGGCCTTTTTCCACAAAACATGGTTGAATATCCAGTCTCTTTAATATTCAGTATGTAATTAGCTATTTAAAGTAAGTTTACATTTTACATATCATTATCCTGGGGGCCTGCTCATTGGTGTCACAGGTCACTCCATCCATATGGACTGGAGCTCAACCTGCATAGTTGTGATGGAGGAAGAAATTAGCTAATGTGATTTTTCCCCTATCACTGTGTCTTAGCCTACTTTATCCCTGGGTTAGCACTTGTTTTAAGGTGTAGCTCCAGAATGTGCTGCACTTTAAATGCTTATAGAAATAGTAAGGCACTTTTAGCAACCCTATAAAGTATTTATTTTTAAAGTATTTCCCAATTACTTTTAAATAGAGCAAGGATTTTTTTAAACATTTAGCCTCACTGATGCTAACAGTCAATTGTGTATTTTTTTTTTTTGGGGGGGGGGGGGGGGGGGGTGACAGCCTGCAGTCATTTGAGTTTTCAACAAGTCTCCCACACGTCTCCTGAGCAATCCCAGCCCACTCTTTTTTCGTCAAATCCCCCAGATTTAGTGGTTCTCTGGCATGGACCTCAACCTTCACTTCACCCCACAGATAAATAAGTCAGGGCTTTGTGCAGGGCTGTCAGTAATGTTCACTCTGGTCTTCTCGAGGCTGTTCTTCACCGGGAGCGACATATGTTTTGGGTCACTGTCATGTTGGAAGTCAAAACAACGACAAATGTAAGTAGCGTCTCTATGCCCAGAGAGCTCTCGCTTCATCTCATCTGACCAAAAGCACTTGGGAAAATTTTGACAAAACCTTTACATTTCCTAGCACGGCTACAAATTTTATTGTGCCACAGCACTCACTACTATGTAACCAATTCAGCAAATAAAGATGCAACGGAACAATTTGTATTGAACACAAGTGCTTTTTTATTGCAAGTATTTATTGGTACCTCAAATGGTTCCCATGCCAGTCACTGAACAGAAACCGCTCCAAGGTACTGAATGAGACAGTTGGGCTGCTGGTCAGGGGCAATTTAAGTTTTACATATTTACATTAAAAGGTGGAACTGTTACAAATACTGAACTAAACTCATGGCAATGCAAAATTAAAGCTCGTCCCCATATCCCTCTGAAAGTTACACTAAAGACATCATTAGCATAGCAATAAAGGCACTCTGCTGTTTGTTATCCACATACTGATCTTAAATAAGAGAAGTTCACTTCTGGGACTATTACAGTAAGACTGATGATAGAGTTGATATTTTAAAAGAAATAATAAATGGGAATTTCAATTTGTTAAATGCACAATTTACCAGGCAAACGACAACAGAAGGCTAACGCACTTCATATATTAAACTGACTTAAATTAGAAATCTAAAAAAAGCAGCATGTCAAGAAAAAAAAAAA